GAAATATTACAAGAGTGCACCGATCATCTGAATCCATTGCAGTGGAAGGTTAGCTTCTTGGTCAGCCTTCATGGAACCCCAGAAGTGTTCCATTTTTGTTTTGCATAAGTATGTGGATGTTGTCAAACAGGTTTTCAGTTCTCTTGAACTATTTTTGGTTAGAAGAAACAGGCTATTTTTTCTAGGAGCTCTTTTTGTTGCTGGCTCTAGATTACAGGTTTCTTCAGCACTCTGTCTAGGATATATGGAAAGCAGAAAGAGTAGCTTTAGCATTCTCTGCTGTGTCATTGCTTAAGTCCTGAGGTTCACATTTTTCTATTTTGTAGAGTCTTTGTGTGTTTGTTAATCTTTTTTTTTTCTTGCAAGGATTTTTAATTGTAAGAAGGAAAATCTGGGAGGAAAGGGCCTACTCCACCTTGGATGAAAATAATACCTATTTCTTTAAATATTATGGATGAGGAACAAGAAAGAGTATCTGTCTGTATGCGTTTTAGTCTTTGGAAACATGACCAGAAACAATAGAATAAAATACATAACAAGACATGGGTACAAGTCCCTCTCCATGAAAATTGTAAGATTTATAATATGTTTTCAATTTTTTACAATTTAGGATATTATAAAATTGATGACCACATAAAAGAGATCCAAGAAAAACCAAAGAAGCCTGTGTGTCAAGTAATATTTGCTGATGACAATGATAAAACATTGAGTAAAGAAGAACAGAAAGTTTTAGAAAGACCATTAAATCTGGGCATAGCTCCAGAGTTTTCAGGAAAAATACCCTGTAAATGTGACTTTTGTGGAAAGAATTTGCCAGTTGCTTCTGAGTTAATTATAAGTAAAAGAAACGATTCAAGAAAGAAGGTTGATTACGTGAATGTGTTTCAGAAATTGCAGCTTGATTTCAAGCATGAGAAAACTCATCCTGGAGAGAAATCTTATGAATATGATGAAAATGTGAAAGCGCACAGTTATAAGAAAGATCAGTATCAGAAATTTCAAACTTTGGGGCAGTCTTTTGAATATAATGAATTTGGAAATGTTTTATATGATAAGACGGTGTATTTTAGGCCAGAGACTTTTGTAACAAGAGAGAAGTCCTGTAAGGATGGTGAATTTAGGATAAACTGTGATAAAACCTTTTTACTTAACTACATGACAACTGACACAAGGGAAAAATGTTCTGGTCTTAATGAATGTGGGAAATCCTGTGACAAAGCCACCATTTTGGAGTACAATAAAATTCACATGGCTGTAACACACCATAAATTTAATGAAAGTGAGATAAATTTCAGTGAAAAGTCATCCCTCATTCAGTCTCAGAGAACTGTTATAGAACAGAGTGCAGACGAAAGCAATAAATGTGAAGAAAACTTTAGCCACAGCTCAGGTCATATAGTAAGTCAGAAAACACAAAGTGGAAGAGATAAATTCTGTGAATATAATGAATGCACAAATATCTGCTACCAGAAATTAGATCTTACAATACATCTGAGAACTCGTACAGA